GTGTGTCTCTCCCCGTGTCTCTGTGTGTCTCACCCCGCGTCTCTCCCCGTGTCTCTGTGTGTCTCTCCCCGTGTCTCTGTGTGTCTCACCCCGCGTCTCTCCCCGTGTCTCTGTGTGTCTCACCCCGCGTCTCTCCCCGCGTCTCTCCCCGTGTCTCTGTGTGTCTCTCCCCATGCCTCTGTGTGTCTCTCCCCGCGTCTATGTGTGTCTCTCCCCGTGTCTCTGTGTGTCTCTCCCCGCGTCTCTCCCCGTGTCTCTCCCCGCGTCTCTCCCCGTGTCTCTGTGTGTCTCTCCCCGTGTCTCTGTGTGTCTCACCCCGCGTCTCTCCCCGCGTCTCTGTGTGTCTCACCCCGCGTCTCTCCTCGTGTCTCTGTGTGTCTCACCCCGCGTCTCTCCCCGCGTCTCTCCCCGTGTCTCTGTGTGTCTCTCCCCATGCCTCTGTGTGTCTCTCCCCGCGTCTCTCCCCGTGTCTCTCCCCATGCCTCTGTGTGTCTCTCCCCGCGTCTCTCCCCGTGTCTCTGTGTGTCTCTCCCCGCGTCTCTCCCCGCGTCTCTGTGTGTCTCTCCCCGTGTCTCTGTGTGTCTCACCCCGCGTCTCTCCCCGTGTCTCTGTGTGTCTCTCCCCGCGTCTCTCCCCGTGTCTCTGTGTGTCTCTCCCCGCATCTCTCCCCGCGTCTCTGTGTGTCTCTCCCCGTGTCTCTGTGTGTCTCACCCCGCGTCTCTCCCCGTGTCTCTGTGCGTCTCTCCCCGCGTCTCTCCCCGCGTCTCTCCCCGCGTCTCTCCCCGCGTCTCACCCCGCGTCTCTCCCCGCGTCTCTGTGTGTCTCTCCCCGCGTCTCTCCCCGCGTCTCTCCCCGCGTCTCTCCCCGCGTCTCTCCCCGTGTCTCTCCCCGCGTCTCTGTGTGTCTCACCCCGCGTCTCTCCCCGTGTCTCTGTGCGTCTCTCCCCGCGTCTCTCCCCGCGTCTCTCCCCGCGTCTCTCCCCGCGTCTCACCCCGCGTCTCTCCCCGCGTCTCTGTGCGTCTCTCCCCGCGTCTCTCCCCGCGTCTCTCCCCGCGTCTCTCCCCGCGTCTCTCCCCGTGTCTCTCCCCGCGTCTCTGTGTGTCTCTCCCCGCGTCTCTCCCCGCGTCTCTGTGTGTCTCACCCCGTGTCTCTGTGTGTCTCTCCCCGTGTCTCTCCCCGTGTCTCTCCCCGCGTCTCTCCCCGTGTCTCTCCCCGCGTCTCTGTGTGTCTCACCCCGTGTCTCTGTGTGTCTCTCCCCGTGTCTCTCCCCGTGTCTCTCCCCGCGTCTCTCCCCGTGTCTCTCCCCGCGTCTCTCCCCGCGTCTCTCCCCGCGTCTCTCCCCGCGTCTCACCCCGCGTCTCACCCCGCGTCTCTCCCCGCGTCTCTCCCCGCGTCTCTCCCCGTGTCTCTCCCCGCGTCTCTCCCCGCGTCTCTCCCCGCGTCTCTCCCCGTGTCTCTGTGTATCTCACCCCGCGTCTCTCCCCGCGTCTCTCCCCGCGTCTCCCCCCGCGCCGCAGCCCCCTGCTGCAGCGGCAGCATGCGTTTGAGACGGACATTGAGCAGCGCATGGGGAGGCTGGAGTCTGTGATCCTGCGCGTTCAGAACTCGGCACCTCGCACTCCGCGTGGGGAGAGGGCTCGGGCACTCCCACTCATACAGGTAGTGCTCACCGCCGCTCACCGCCGCTCACCGCCGCTCACCGCCGCTCACCGCCGCTCACCGCCGCTCACCGACGCTCACCGACGCTCACCGACGCTCACCGACGCTCACCGACGCTCACCGCCGCTCACCGCCGCTCACCGCCGCAGCTGAGGTGCATCGAGTCGCCAGCTACTCGCTGACCTCGTGTGACCACATCAAGGGTGGGTGGGTAGGTGAGCGGGTGGGTGGGTGGGTGGGTCGGTGGGTAAGTGGGTGAGTGAGTGGGCGAGTGAGTGGGTGAGTGAGTGGGCGAGTGAGTGGGTGGGTCGGTGAGTGAGTGGGCGAGTGAGTGGGCGAGTGAGTGGGTGGGTCGGTGGGTAAGTGGGTGAGTGAGTGGGTAAGTGGGTGAGTGAATGGGTGAGTGAGTGGGCGAGTGAGTGGGTGGGTCGGTGGGTAAGTGAGTGAGTGAGTGGGCGAGTGAGTGGGCGAGTGAGTGGGTGGGTTGGTGGGTAAGTGGGTGAGTGAGTGGGTGAGTGAGTGGGCGAGTGAGTGGGCGAGTGAGTGGGTGGGTCGGTGGGTAAGTGAGTGAGTGAGTAGGTGGGTAAGTGGGTGAGTGAGTGGGCGAGTGAGTGGGTGGGTCGGTGGGTAAGTGGGTGAGTGAGTGGGTGAGTGAGTGGGCGAGTGAGTGGGTGGGTCGGTGGGTAAGTGGGTGAGTGAGTGGGCGAGTGAGTGGGCGAGTGAGTGGGTGGGTCGGTGGGTAAGTGGGTGAGTGAGTGGGTGAGTGAGTGGGCGAGTGAGTGGGTGGGTCGGTGGGTAAGTGGGTAAGTGGATGAGCGGGTCAGTGGGTGTGTGGGTGAGCGAGTGGGTGACTCTGTGAGCAATTGCATAGGTGGGTCAGGGAATTAGTGAGTGGGTGGTGGGTGGGTGAGTCAATGGGTGGGTGGGTGGGTAAGTGGGTGAGTGGGCGAGCGAGTGAATCTGAACAAGTGGGTGGGTGGGTGAGGGAAAGAGTGAGTGGGCGGTGGGTGGACGAGTGGGCGGGTAGTGGAGTGGTTGGGTGAGTGGCCAGGCGGGTGGGTGAGTGAATGGGTGGGTGGGTGAGTGGGTGAGTGAGTAGGTGAGTGAGTGAATGGGTGAGTGGGTGAGCGAGTGGGGGAATTGGTGAGCGAGTTCATACTTCTTTTGCACCTCACGTAGCCAACCGTGCAAATTCATCATCGTCACTCACCCACCCACTCACCCATTCATTCACTCACCCACCCACTCACCCATTCATTCACTCACCCACCCACCCACTCACCCATTCATTCACCCACCCACTGACCCATTCATTCACTCACCCACCCACTGATTCATTCACTCACTCACCCATTCACTCACTCACCCACCCACTCACCCATTCATTCACTCACCCACCCACTCACCCATTCATTCACTCACCCACCCACTCACCCATTCATTCACTCACCCACCCACTCACCCATTCATTCACTCACCCACCCACTCACCCGTTCATTCACCCACCCACTGACCCATTCATTCACTCACCCACCCACTCACCCATTCATTCACTCACCCACCCACTCACCCATTCATTCACTCACCCACTGACCCATTCATTCACTCACCCACCCACTGACCCATTCATTCACTCACCTACCCACTCACCCATTCATTCACTCACCCACCCACTCACCCATTCATTCACTCACCCACCCACTCACCCATTCATTCACTCACCTACCCACTCACCCATTCATTCACTCACCCACCCACTCACCCATTCATTCACTCACCCACCCACTCACCCATTCATTCACTCACCTACCCACTCACCCATTCACTCACCCACCCACTCACCCACCCACTCACCCATTCATTCACTCACCCACCCACTCACCCATTCATTCACTCACCCACCCACTCACCCATTCATTCACTCACCTACCCACTCACCCATTCATTCACTCACCCACCCACTCACCCATTCATTCACTCACCTACCCACTCACCCATTCACTCACCCACCCACTGACCCATTCATTCACCCACCCACTCACCCACCCACCCATTTACCCACGCACCCACTCACCCATTCACTCACCCACCCACTCACCCACCCACTCACCCATTCATTCACTCACCCACCCACTCACCCATTCATTCACCCACCCACTGACCCATTCATTCACTCACCCACCCACTCACCCATTCATTCACTCACCCACCCACTCACCCACCCACTCACCCATTCATTCACCCACCCACTGACCCATTCATTCACTCACCCACCCACCCACTCACCCATTCATTCACTCACCCACCCACTCACCCGTTCATTCACCCACCCACTGACCCATTCATTCACTCGCCCACCCACCCATTCACCCATTCATTCACCCACCCACCCGTTCACCCACCCACTCACCCACCCACCCATTTACCCACCCACCCACTCACCCTTTCACTCATCCACCCACTCACCCACCCACTCACCCACCCACTCACCCATTCACTTACTCAGCCACTCACCCACCCACTCACTCACTCACTAATTCATTCATTCACCCACCCACTCACTCACTCACCCACTCACCCATCCACCCACCCACTCACCCCACCCACCCACCCATTCACCCACCCACCCACTCACCCATTCATTCACCCACCCACTCAATCACTCACCCACCCACCCACTCACCAATTCACCCACTCACCCACCCACTCACCCATTCACCCACCCACCCACTCACCCCACCCACCCACCAACCACGTATGTACCGTATGTTCGACTTCTTTTGCAACCCTCCGTAGCCAACCGTGCTAATCGGAGGTGCGCCTATTATTTTTTTACTACGTTGTGGTCGTGCCTGGCAGCAAAGAAAATGGGCCCTGGCATGTGACACGATTGATGACCGAATGGCGAGGAATGATTCACACCGGTTGCCATGGAATGTGTCGCCCGGTTTCCCCGGCTCTGCAGCAAATGAAAGTGCAGCCACTGAAGGCGCTGAACCTGGACCCGGAGTCCAACCGGGGTACAAGGAAAGTCAAAAGGCAGGCGAGGGTAGCTCCACTCGCCGGTGAGTCGCGCTCGCTCGCCCAGCCGCTCGCCTGCCCGCCCAGCCGCTCAGCTACACACCCAGTCACTCAACTACCCGCCCAGCCGCTCGCCTACTCACCCAGCCACTCAACTACCCGCCCAGCCACTCACCTACTCACCCAGCCACTCAACTACTCACCCAGTCACTCACCCAGCCACCCAGCCACTCAGCTACACACTCAGCCGCTCAACTACCCGCCCAGCGACTCAACTACTCACCCAACCACTCAGCTACACACTCAGCCACTCAACTACCCACCCAGCTGCTCGCCCAGCCACTCACCTACTCACCCAGCCACTCAACTACCCCCTCAGCCATTCAACTACCCACCCAGCTACTCAACTACTCACCCAGCCACTCAACTACCCGCCCAGCCACTCAACTACCCACCCAGCCACTCACCTACTCACCCAGCCCCTCACCTACTCACCCAGCCGCACACCCAGCCACTCACCCAGCCGCTTAACCAGCCACTCACCTACTCACCCAGCTACTCACCTACTCACCCAGCCACTCACCTACTCACCCAGCTACTCACCTACTCACGCAGCCACTCACCTACCCACCCAGCCACTCACCTACTCACGCAGCCACTCACCTACCCACGCAGCCGCTCACCTACTCACCCAGCTACTCACCTACTCACCCAGCCACTCACCTACTCACCCAGCCCCTCGCCTACCCACCCAGCCACTCACCTACTCACGCAGCCACTCACCTACCCACCCAGCCACTCACCTACTCACCCAGCCACTCACCTACTCACGCAGCCACTCACCTACTCACCCAGCCACTCACCTACTCACCCAGCCACTCACCTACTCACCCAGCCCCTCGCCTACTCACCCAGCTACTCACCTACTCACCCAGCCACTCACCTACTCACCCAGCCACTCACCTACTCACCCAGCCACTCACCTACTCACCCAGCCCCTCACCTACTCACACAGCCACTCACACAGCCACTCACCCAGCCCCTCACCTACTCACGCAGCCACTCACCTACTCACCCAGCCCCTCACCTACTCACACAGCCACTCACCTACTCACACAGCCACTCACACAGCCACTCACCCAGCCCCTCACCTACTCACACAGCCACTCACACAGCCACTCACCCAGCCCCTCACCTACTCACCCAGCCCCTCACCTACTCACCCAGCCACTCACCTACTCACCCAGCCGCTCACCTACTCACCCAGCCGCTCACCCAGCCACTCACCCAGCCGCTTAACCAGCCACTCACCTACTCACGCAGCCACTCACCTACCCACCCAGCCCCTCACCTACTCACCCAGCCACTCACCTACTCACCCAGCCACTCACCTACTCACGCAGCCACTCACCTACCCACCCAGCCACTCACCTACTCACCCAGCCCCTCACCTACTCACCCAGCCGCAAACCCAACCACTCACCCAGCCACTCACCTACTCACCCAGCCACTCACCTACTCACCCAGCCGCTCGCCTACTCACCCAGCCACTCACCTACTCACCCAGACACTCACCTACTCACCCAGCCGCACACCCAGCCACTCACCCAGCCGCTTAACCAGCCACTCACCTACTCACCCAGCTACTCACCTACTCACCCAGCCACTCACCTACTTACCCAGCCCCTCACCTACTCACGCAGCCACTCACCTACTCACCCAGCTACTCACCTACTCACGCAGCCACTCACCTACTCACCCAGCCACTCATCTACTCACCCAACCACTCACCTACTCACTTAGCCACTCACCTACCCACCCAGCCACTCACCTACTCACGCAGCCACTCACCTACCCACCCAGCCGCTCACCTACTCACCCAGCCGCTCGCCTACCCACCCAGCCACTCACCTACCCACCCAGCCACTCGCGTACTCACTTAGCCACTCACCTACCCAACCAGCCACTCACCTACTCACGCAGCCACTCACCTACCCACCCAGCCACTCACCTACTCACGCAGCCACTCACCTACCCACCCAGCCGCTCACCTACTCACCCAGCCGCTCACCTACCCACGCAGCCACTCACCTACTCACGCAGCCACTCACCTACCCACCCAGCCACTCACCTACTCACGCAGCCACTCACCTACCCACCCAGCCACTCACCTACTCACCCAGCTACTCACCTACTCACACAGCCACTCACCTACTCACCCAGCTACTCACCTACTCACGCAGCCACTCACCTACTCACCCAGCCACTCATCTACTCACCCAGCCACTCACCTACTCACGCAGCCACTCACCTACCCACCCAGCCGCTCACCTACTCACCCAGCCGCTCGCCTACCCACCCAGCCACTCGCGTACTCACTTAGCCACTCACCTACTCACCCAGCCACTCACCTACTCACCCAGCTACTCACCTACTCACCCAGCTACTCACCTACCCACCCAGCCACTCACCTACTCACCCAGCCCCTCACCTACTCACCCAGCCCCTCACCTACTCACCCAACCACTCACCTGCTCACCCAACCACTCAACTACTCACCCAGCCACTCACTCACCTACTCACCCAGCCGCTCGCCTACTCACCCAACCACTCAACAACTCAGCCGGCCACTCACCCAGTCACTCACCCAGCCGCTCACCTACTCACCCAACCACTCACCTGTTCACCCAGCCGCTCACCTACTCACCCAGCCACTCAACTACTCAATCAGCTGCTCAACTACGAATGATGTTGGCGATGGTGGTGATGATGGTGACGATGGCAGTGATGACGATGCTAGTGACGATGATGGTAGTGGTGATGATGCTCGTGACGATGATGATGTTGGCGATGGTGGTGATGATGGTGACGATGGCAGTGATGACGATGCTAGTGACGATGATGGTAGTGGTGATGATGGTCGTGACGATGATGATGTTGGCGATGGTGGTGATGATGGTGACGATGGCGGTGATTTAGGCGATGGCGGTGATGTTGGCGATGGTGGTGATGATGGTGACGATGGCGGTGATTTAGGCGATGGCGGTGATGTTGGCGATGGTGGTGATGATGGTGACGATGGCGGTGATGTTGGTGATGGTGGTGATGATGGTGACGATGGTGGTGATGATGGTGACGATGGCGGTGATTTAGGCGATGGCGGTGATGTTGGCGATGGTGGTGATGGTGACGATGGCGGTGATTTATGCGATGGCGGTGATGTTGTGTTCCTCTGTGTGCAGCACACAACTCTGTGGACTCGCATCGAGTGAAGAGATCCAAGGTGAGCGACAGGCACGGAGAGACAGAGAGAGAGACAGAGAGAGAGACAGAGAGAGAGACGGAGAGAGACAGAGAGAGAGAGACAGAGAGAGACAGAGAGACAGAGAGAGACAGAGAGAGACGGAGAGACACAGAGAGAGAGACGGAGAGACACAGAGAGAGAGACAGAGAGAGAGACAGAGAGAGAGACGGAGAGAGACAGAGAGAGACGGAGAGAGAGACAGAGAGAGAGAGACGGAGAGAGAGACGGAGAGAGAGACGGAGAGAGAGACGGAGAGAGAGACGGAGAGAGAGACGGAGAGAGACAGAGAGAGACGGAGAGAGAGACGGAGAGACACAGAGAGAGACACAGAGAGACACCCAGAGAGAGAGAGAGAGAGACAGAGAGAGAGAGACAGAGAGAGAGACGGAGAGAGACGGAGAGAGACGGAGAGAGACGGAGAGAGACAGAGAGAGACAGAGAGAGACAAAGAGAGACAGAGAGAGACAGAGAGAGACAGAGAGAGACGGAAAGAGAGACGGAAAGAGAGACGGAAAGAGAGACGGAAAGAGAGACGGAAAGAGAGACGGAAAGAGAGACGGAAAGAGAGACGGAAAGAGACAGAGAGAGACAGGGAGAGACACAGAGAGGTAGAGAGAGAGAGACGGAAAGCGAGAGACACACACAGAGACAGTGACACACACAGAGACATTGAGACACAACACACAGAGACAGTGAAACACACACAGAGAGACACACACACAGAGATAGAGAGACACACACACAGAGAAAGAGAGACACACACACATACCGAGACAGTGAGACACAGAGACACACACAGAGACAGTGAAACACAACACACAGATATAGAGAGACACACACAGAGACAGTGAGACACACAGACAGAGAGACGCACACACACACAGAGACACATACATAGAGACAGAGACACACACACAGAGACAAACACACACTGACACACACAACACAACAACAACAACCGCCATTCGCCACTAAGTGGCGGTGACGTCACCACGACGCTTGTGCCAGGCCATGTGCACCTTGAGGCCACGTGAAGTGTCGAACGCCCGCTGGCAGGAGGTCACGGGGCAGACCCAGGTGCCACGGGTTGACTGAATGAGATGACTGAGATGACTGGCTGGTGCACCACCTGTGCCCCCTGCTGTGCCAACCTGCTGTGCTTTAGCCACCCGGCGCTCCGCTCGTTGTGAGCGTCGCTCCTCCGCCCTCCGTTGTTGTTGGAGGGCGACTGCCTCCAACTGCCCAGTCGCAGCGTCCTTCACGAGCCTCCTCCACAGAGGCCGATCTTGACACCGCTGGTACCAGTCATCGGCAAGTCCACTCAACTCCACGTCCTCCTGTACCACATCACTCCATCTCTTCTCTAGCCCGTGCCGCGCCCGCTTAGCCCCCTCAATCCGGCCAAACAAAAGCTGTTTCGGCATGCGGTGGCTTGGCATGCGGGCTACATGACCCAGCCATCGCAGCCTTGCCTGCCGGAGGAGCTCACCGATGGGACCCTGCCCAGATCTTTCAAGGATTTGTGAGCTCCTCACACAATCCAGTCTGGTTAAACCCAGGATGGATCGTAGGCAGGCCAGCCTAAATGTTTCTAACCGGCGAAGATGTTCCATTAGGGGGGTCCACGTTTCGCAAGCGTAGAGAAGGGAGGGAATGACCGTGGCCGAGAAGACCTGAAGCTTAGTGCGGAGCGACAGACCAGGTAGCTTCCACACAGCGTTACGCAACCGATGAAAAGATATTGCCGCTCGACTGATTCGGAGTGAGACCTCTGCTGTTAAACTGGAGCCAGTCATAAGCACACTGCCCAGGTATGGGAAACTCTCCACTCTCTCCACAACTGCCCCATCACCGATTGGGAGTTGTGGGGGTGGAGTGTCCGATGGTACAAAATACCCAGGCAGCTGCTTAGTTTTGGTGGGGCTGATGGTAAGGCCCCACCTCTTAGTGGCACGCTCCAGTCTCAGCAGCAGCGTCTCCAACTCCTCCTCTGACTGAGCAGCTATTACCAAATCATCAGCATACATAACGTGGTTGAGCAATAGGGAGCCATCCCTTGACCGCACCCGGGCATCGATTAGCCTCCCATTATATCTGTACCATATGGAGATTCCCCCGGTACAGCTATTGAAGGCTTCACGAACTACGTGGTCAAAATAGATGTTAAATAATGTGGGAGCCAGAGGACATCCCTGTCGCACCCCAAGGTGTACAGGGAATGGCTCTGACTCCCGGCCACGTAGTTTTACCCGGGCCCGCTCATCATCATGAAGGTCCTTAATGATCGTGAGCAGAGGGTCAGGTACTCCAAAAACACGAAGAACAACCCAGAGCCCAGGCCTACTGATGGTATCATAGGCCTTGACCAGGTCAATAAAGCAGAGATGTAGGTCTTGCTGGAATTCCCTACACCTCTGCTGTAGCAGACGGACAGAAAATATGGCATCTGTGCAGGACCGCCCTTTCCTGAAACCGCATTGGGGCTCCGCAAGCCTCTCCTCAGCGTGCCTGGCAAGGCGATGTTGAATAATCCTTGCCAGGACCTTTCCCGGCACACTGAGGAGTGAGATGCCCCTGTAGTTGTTACAGTCTGTGCGGTCCCCCTTCTTAAAGAGGGGGACCATCAGGGCATCCTTCCAATCCTGCGGAACCCGTCCAGTGGTCCTGACTGTTGTTATGATGTCATATAGGCCAGTCTGTGCACAAACGCCACCCTCCCTCAGCATTTTGCTTGGGAGATCATCTCTGCCCGCTGCCTTTCCTGGTCTCAGACTCCGGATTGCCTTCAGTACTTCCTCAACTGATGGCACCTCAGCCAGCCACTCACAGGGGGTCACTTCTTCCAATATTTGAGGTACTGCAGCCTCAGCAGGGTCATCCTCACTTTGTACCACGATGTTTTCCTGGCTGAGGGATTTTCCCTCCCCCAGGACCTCACAGAAATGCTCAGCAAATCTGCAAACCTGTTCCTGGGGGTCGGAGATTGGATCACCGTTTTTTCCCCTAATGATGGTAATAGGTGTGGCGCTGCAGGTTACTTTTTTGATGGAGTTACATTGAGATTTGTGATCACGGGCCACTGAGGCAGATTCCATCTCCTCAGCAACCCGCGACCACCACCCATCCTTGCAGCGCCCCACGGCTCTCCGAACCTCAGAGCGAAGGCTGCGTTAAGCCTCCTCATTCTCTGACGTGGGATTCTGTAGCCGATGACAGTGGGCCTGTCGCTTTTTCTCAACCATCCTGAACACCTCCTCTGTCAGCCAAGGTCTCTGGGGAGGTCTGGACCGCGTACCCAAAGCAGCCAATGCAGCTGCATGAGTGACAGTCCTAAACCTCGCCCATTTACCCTCGACATCAGGAGGAGTGGGGGACGATGCCAACCCCAACCGCAGGCGATGATTAAATTCTTGCTTGAAACTTTCATCAGCTAGCTGAGACCAGGCTAGGTTGGAATGGGGTCCTGGGTGTACACCCACCACCGGAGTGGAAGAATGGCAGGCACATCTTACAGATGACAAGTCGATGGTCAGAGGGCAGATCAGCTCCACGGTAGGTCCTGGTGTCAAGGACATGGCCTCGCATCCGCTGGTCCATCACTACGTAGTCCAGCAGATGTTCTTGCTTGGACCCGGCATGCATCCGTGATGTTGTGTGGATGCGCCGATGCCGGAACAGCGTGTTGGTAATTACAAGCCCATGCGCTGCACAGAAGTCTAGCAGCCTCCTACCGTTGTTATTGAGCTGATCTGGCCCATGCCCTCCAATCACTCCAGACCAGGTGCCAGCATCATGACCAACTCAGGCATTGAAGTCACCCAACATGATGACTCTATCCCGACGGGCCACTTTAGCCAGCACCTGTGACAGGAGTTCATAGAAGGCACCTGACTCATCGGCTTTGCCTGCATCCCTCCACGGATGTTCGTCTTCGGTGGGGGCATAAGTAACCACGACCACCACTCCTCGCCTCCGATTGATGGGAAGGCGAGCCCAAAGTAGCCTGGGGCTTACAGCTTCCCACACCTCACCGCCACGCTCCCACGCCCCCTTCATTCTTTTGTTCAAAAGAAGAGCCACACCCTGTTGTTTGGCAGTCTGCTGCCCCGAGTAGAGGACTGTCCATCCCTCATGGTGGCAGGAGCCAGAACCGGTCCACCGGACCTCCAGAATGCCACAGAGATTCAGGTGGTACCGGTCCAGCTCCCGACAGAGGAGTGGCAGCCTTTCCTCCGCAGTGAGCGTTCGAACATTCCACGTGGCCACACGAAGTGGCTTTTCGTTGTTTCTGGAGGAGCCCCGAGGGTAGAGATTCAATCTCCTGGCTCCACCAATTGGGGTTTGGCCAGGAGACGTCATAGACGCCTGTCTCCCCGGGGCCTCCGGCACAAGCTTATTAGTTAGATATTTTAGACGTGGTTTAGTGGTAATTTTTTTAAGGTGGAGGGGTTACCAGCCCCTCGCACCCATCCAGAGCCCCCGTTTAGCCACTGTGGTGGTCACAGATGCCATGAGGGGAGGAGCCAATCGGAATTGGCTCCTCCCCCCACAGCACTGTCCACGACAGAGTTGCCCGTCCGGCACCACGAGGATGTAGGGGGTTGTTTTGCCGGACACAGAGAGACACACAGAGGCACGCACACAGAGACAGAGAGACACACAGAGAGACACACACACAGACACACACACAGAGACAGAGAGACACACACCGACACAGAGAGACACACAGACAGAGGCACGCACACAGAGACAGAGAGACACACACACAGACACACACACAGAGACAGAGAGACACACACCGACACAGAGAGACACACAGACAGAGGCACGCACACAGAGACAGAGAGACACAGAGAGACACACACACAGACACACACACAGAGACAGAGAGACACACACCGACACAGAGAGACACATAGAGACAGAGAGACACACACAGAGACAGAGAGACACACACAGAGACAGAGAGACACACACAG